CCAGTCCTCAACTCATTTTTTTATCATCTTTTTCCAACATCAGTGACAGAGGAAAGAAACCACAGAAATACAAATTAAGACTAAAAATGACCCCAAAAAGATCATGATATACTATCTTTGGTTGAATAAGAAGCTAAAATATATTTGGGAGAAATTTTCTTTTCGATCTCCACTAATAAGGCCATGTCTTCCTTTCCTTTTTCACTGCCTGACTCACTTCCAGAGACAAGGATGCCTTGTCAGTCTGTTTGCAAGGCGTGGGTTGGCATCCTTTGAGATACATCAGATAAGAAAGAGAGCCTGAGAAGTGAAATAACAGATGTTGGGCTTCTATCATTACATGAAAGGCATTGTAAAGATCAAAAGGAATGATCTGGATTTGGCCACTAAATAACTTGATTCTTTCTTAACTAATGTTTTCTTCTTGGATTGGAACAAAAATGAGGTTCCATAATAATTTTGTCCACATTTAGAAATATTTTAATGTTATCATAAGATTTGTATCTGCCCTGCTAGTTTCCAGAAAACACAGTTTTATAGTACAATGGTCAACTTCAAAGGGTTACATAAAAAATAGTCAAGTGAATTTTCTTTATAATAATGATGGTAGTTGAAAATTGCATGGGATCAGTTTCTCCATTCATTCTTCTCAGCGTTACAGCTGGATGAAAGACTGTATCTACCCAACTGCTCCAGTCTTGATCTTGTTAACGGGTTCATTTGAAGAAATTACAGCATCTATCTGACTATTCCCATTGGCAAACAAAACAGAGCAGTCAATATGAATCTGTGTTGTTCTCAGGGAGATGGGATCTCTAGGTTGTTGTAGCAGTGGGGTAGATCAGAAGACCTTGAAGTTAACCCTTGTCCTTGCAGTTCCATTTTACTTTCAGAACAGTAAGAAGCAGAGGTGTACTCCTGCTGATATGCAAGTATTTACTGGAATCTTCACCAAGCCAGACTATCTCATGTAATATGCACTGTGATTAAAAGATTGATACATCAGGATTTAGAAAGTAAGAAAGAAGATGACTGGGTTGTATGTTCTTTGGGATATGTTCCTTTAAAAATTACATTGGTAGTTCCAAATTTGCTGTTTTTCCTTGGAGGGAGAAATGAATCTATTCTGAAGTAGAATGTGAACATTCTAATGCCTTCTGGTTTTGCCTCTCTTGATTGGATTTAAGGGGCTAACTCTTAAGGACTGATAAATGTCCTTTAATAACCATGTTATCTATTAATAGCTTTCTGTTCAACAGAAATGAAATCAATATATAGTTTAATGGCTTCTCTTGTCAGGGGTATTATTGATTCTATTTCAAATGGTTTTGAAATGATATGCTATTATGCAAATGCCATCTATTTTTGATATCTTTATGAGGTAACTTGTAACAACAATAGTGCAGATGTACTTTTCTTCTTCATCTTTCATTTTCCTGGGTCAGTTATCAAATACTGAATTCTTTTCCAAGGATTACAATCTAAGTTTTTCGCCTGATAAACTTTTTCAATTGCCCTCTTGGCATAAAATCAGTATATTTTCTATGCAAACACTCACTAGCAAAGCAACTCCAACCATCTGCCTAAACTTTCTTTATTTTTTAAAATTATTCTTCTTTATTCCATTAGAATATACAGTGACATGTGGGCTGGGAATACAATGTAGAAAAATAAAGAAGATGTTTTTATGTAATATGAGGAAGAGTATTGCAGCAGTACTCTATTTGCAGTGGGGAGCAACCCAGTGTGATGTGCCCCATCATGAAGTGCCTTGATAATGAATATTGGGCTATCAGTCCTGAGGACAGTGGCAAGGCCCAATCAGTGTTCCTCTATCCCTTGGTCTCATGATACTGCTTTCATTAGTAAAGGTGTATAACCTAGACCCATTTCAACAATGAGGTGTACAAGATGCTATGTCGAAAAACGAACTTTACAATTTAGGCAGGTTAGGGGGTAGCTGAGGAGGTGGGAGGGAAGGGATGGTAGGGGAAAAACAAAGGAGCAGGCAACAATGCTGGATAAGAAATGTACTCATCACCTTGCTCATGTAACTGTAACCCCTTTGTACAGTATTTTCACAATAAAAAAAAACTTAATTTAAGAAAAGATTGCAAGAGGAAAAGACAGACATTGATACCTAGAGAGCACAGGTGTTGGTAACAAAGAAAGGTGTTAGTGTTGGTGTTGGGTGGGGTTTTATAGAATAAATTTGATCTATAAATAATCAAATTCAGATCTGAGATAGAAAGTATGCTTATTATCATGCCTTATTATGTCTGTTCTCAATGGATTCTTCTAATGTTTTGTATTTTCAGACATGGAGAAACAATGAAGTATCCCAATCTAGTCAAATCAGGCTGATTTTTTTTTTTTTATGTAGAAAGTAAACAGGTGAATTCTAGAAAATAATTCTAAATGACAAGGCAGAAATTCTACACTCTGTACATGTAATTGAACTTTGTCATATTGCTGGGAGTTTTGTTAACATCTCCTAAAATAAGTGATTTCTATTAGCATATTAATTGTACAAAGTAAACAGTTTCATGACATTTCCATAAATGCATATGATATACTTGGATTATGTTCACCTTGTGTGTTACTTTTTCTTATCTCCTCACTTTGCTCCTCTCCTTTTGCATTCCTGGTAATTCCCCTTTTACATTCATGTCCCTTTTTCTCCTAAATTCCAGCAATGAGAGAGAACATACAATATTAATCTTTGTGTGACTTTGCTTATTTCACTTCACCCATTTTCCTCTAAATGAAACAATTGCATTCTTATTTTATAACAGAGTAAAACTCTGTCTATATATTTACCAATTTACCTTTTCCATTCATTGTTTGATAGCCAATCTGCCTTTGAAGACAGTTAGAAAAGACTTGTGAGTTCTAGCATCTTGGGAGTGAGATATTAGGATGTTAGCATCAAGCAGTAATGTTCTTTAGCTGAGAAAAAAACAGGATGCCATCAGAACCACCATTTGATCTCACTTCTATAATGCTAAGCCAGCAAACAAGATATAAGCATTTGACATTAGAAACTGGGAAATCCAGAAAAGTAAGAACAACTGTTAACTATGCTGCTTTCATGCTAAGAAAGACTAATGGTCTTTAGTAAGCACAGGTCTGAGTGAAACTTGATGGCTTTGATCAGTAAAATAAAAACAAAAAAATTATAAACCAATTTCCATTCAGAAGACTCCACCAAAATTAAATAGAAAACTTCACCAAAATTAAATAATTTTGTGTTATAGAAACTCATTGTTTCAAAATTCAAAAATCAGAACTCTTCTTGGCAGATGTTAATATTTTTAAAACCAAATCTGTGTTTATAGAGTTCCTAGGAAGTTGTAATATGCTACCTTTTTAAGCCTATATTAATTAAAAATGGAACATTAGGATCAAGGAACTTGAAACTTGCATAGCTTTTCATCTGTTCTGCCTACCTGACAGTCATTTAACAGCCCTAAGCCCAAAGGGTATAAATGGCTGGAAGTTAGATTCAAAAGAACTCCTACTGAAACTCTGTTTTGAATCAGTGGAGTTTGAAAGTAATGTACACAGCAGAGTTAGTGCAAGTCAGAATTTGACTTTGAGATGAATGAAAATAACTACAGCATCATGACTCCCTCCCACCCCCCACTGCCACTGCCACCCCACTTTCAAAACAGCTGTTTTGAAGACAGTTTCCATCTTTAGAAAGGCAAACAAAACATGAACAAGCTGCCTGTGTGGTCTAGGTTGAAAAATCTGACTAACCTGAATAAGATTCGAGGACATTGGATGGAGAAAGCAAGAAAGATATATACATACGTATATGTATATATAGCTTATATTTTATTATATTTTGTATATTTTTATATCTTATACTGTTGTACATATTAATATACATTATATAGGGAGGAAGGGAATGACTTTATACATTTATTGTCTTAATAAAAATTTATGATTTTAAAATCATTAGGTTTGGAAATATAATAAAGCACAGTGAAGGAAATACTACCCCAGGATTCTAGGAGTCAAAGATAAGCTCTGTTAATATTTTGTTGTGATTCATTGACTTATTCTAAAAGGAGTCAATTCTGGAGTACAACTCAGTTCAGTAATGAAAGGCATTTATTAAATTAAAGTGTATTTTTCTTTCCTTGCTATTGTTATCTGAGTTTTTTTTTCCCTGCCTTTCCTTCTCATGATGGTAAAAAAACCTATGAGCACTGAGTCGTATGCTTTCTCCAAATTAATTTCGTAGCCCTGGACAAGAAGCTATGCTGTCAGTAACCACAATAACCTTGCTTTCCTCTTCTGTATGTTCCCTCTCTGTCTTCTTCCCCTTGTTCGTCAATTTCTATTCTTCTCTGTTTCAGCAAAACAATATCAGTCAAGGTAATTGATGATGAGGAATATGAGAAAAACAAGACCTTCTTCCTTGAGATTGGAGAGCCCCGCCTGGTGGAGATGAGTGAGAAGAAAGGTGGGGGAGCTGCTCCAGGGCTAAGCCCTACAGCTTCTGCTGGCCTGTGCCTCCTTGGATGCCTGCACTCTTCAGAACATGACTTACCATGCACACATCCCTCCACCTAGGTAACAGGGCATGAATCTCACACTGGCCACAGGGGCCTGGACTGCAACTCTGCACATTCCAGGTCAGGAAGATGAATTTTCCATGCAGCCAATCCAGCCTCCTCTTCTGGGAAGGTTGATGCAGATGCTATACGTGGTCAAAGTTGAGCCACTTTTCTGATGTTTCGTTCTGATTTGGGAAGCCTAAATGTTTGCTAACTAAATTGGGAAGAATTTGTGCAAGGGATTCCTTAGCACAGCAAACTAAATGGAGGCCAGCTGAGAGGACTCAAGATGCCCTTTTACGTAGGTCTGGAGTTCCATGTGCTGCCAGTTCTCCCTCTGTAACATCACAGTAACATCCAGCTTGGTGGACATCTAGAGCATGAGCGTGTGACGCCAACCATTCGTTTTGCCTTTGTCTTGTGTTCCTACAGGAAGATCATTACCATTAGACTATATGACCGTGAGGAATATGAGAAAAAGAGCAGATTCTTCCTTGAGCTTGAGGAACCAATATGGATAAGAAGAGGAATGAAAGGTGTGAGAGTATATAAAGACATACCAGCGAGAAATTGTACTCTTCTCTCTCTGTGTCTCCCTACTCTCACACTTAACTCTCTCTTCTTCCTCAGCTTCCATGAAACTTAGCAAATTCATCTGCATTCCCTAATTCACATTTGCACCAAATGATGCCCATTTTCTTTGAAATGCTGACTAACCTTGATTGCAACCAGATTTATTTAACACTGGAAGAGAGTTCAGTAATTCAGAAATGATGATACAAAGGAACATGTTTCTTTTTTTATTGCTCTTTGGAGTTCAACTATTAAATCTCCCCAGAAATGTTAGTGACAAAAACCACTTAATATCCTATCAATCTTGCCTCAGTGAATCTAAAAGGAAAAAAAAAACTACTTCCTAACTACTTTGCAGATGAGTCTAATGGCAACTAATAATACACTTCAGAATTCAATATATAATACTTAACAGCCCAATTTTTAAAAAGAATTTAATCAGAATAGAAATCATAAAACAGTATGTTATCCATATTCTAGTATTAATTTCAGAACAAAGTTTTCATACCTTAAAATATGATATTTAAAATGTACCACATATGCAAAATGATAGTCAAGTTATTTTTATTCAGTTTGGTAGTAGATAATCCTCTAGTGAGCATTTAAGGCCTATCTGGCCTTACGTTCCAAAATCTTCTGATTATTATGGAATTAATGAATTTTAACATAAAGAGTAAAAAAGAAAAATAACAATAGCATTACAATTAGTTTTGCTAATTCATACTTAAAATTTGAAGAATCATTTGAAAAAGGATCCAATTCTTTTTACCGCTTTTATTTTGTATTTTATATAATTTATATTTGATAAGGAAGGATTGGAATCTTTGTTCTGAATTATTACTAATTATCCTTTGACAGTGATCACTTTAAAAGAAATCCTGCTGATGTAATTATATATGTAAAGTGGGAATCCTACCTGTTGATTGTTCTTATTAATTATAGGCATCAGTGATCAGAGAGTAGATGGACTATGTCACATGAAATTTACACATTTTTTTACATATAGAGTGGAAATATTAAGTATGTAAGACTAATTTTGGGTAACTTTCTGACCACAGGGTCTATCAGAGGTCTTAAAAGAAAGTGCACATTCCTGACTTAGTGAAGTTCAAAATGGCAAAAAGAAACTTTGGAATGGTGGAAAAAGGTACATTTGAGACCAATTTGGATGCAGCATATCTAATAAGTTTCATAAGTAGGAAAAAGCAAGAAAAGACACTTTAGAAAATTATGCTGATGTCTTAGAGAAGTGAGATTTTTTAAAATGTCTTATTAACATCACTTAGTTCCTGAATGCATTCCTCCAAAGAGCTGTCTTTTATCTAAGGGAAGAGAATATTGGATACAGCTCTTTCAATTGTCATTTTAGAAAAATATACCTTCATGTAAAAGAAAATTAACATTACTTGGTGACACTCTCCAGTTTCAACCCACCAACTCTCATCATCAGTGAAATTATTGACATTTTTTAAAAATGGTTACTTGAGTTACCATACCATGAGAGAGAAAACTGTACCTTAAAAAGTAATTGTAACATTCCCATGTAGAACCTAGGAAATAATTTACTTGATAGATTGACCCAGAAGGCTTTCATTAAAATAAAATGCTATAATCTGGGTTTAAAAGTTATCATTGAAAAGTCATGTGTTCTCCCCCACACTCCCTGCCCAGTTGTTTTCTGTGGAGTCCTATGTCTACAAAGAACACTCTGATCATCCATTGTGCTGAAGTCACTAATAAAGACATATAGATAGGAGTCAATTCCTGAGGCTCTTGGGATTTAGGAACTTTAGACATATAAACAATGATTAGTATCAAAATATAATCCAAATAGAATGCCCAGAAAGAGAGAAAAAGCTTTACCTTGGACCAAAGTCTCATGATAGCCAAAATAAAATTTCTTAGGATCTTTTGCCTGTTCTTAGTAATTCACATGTGTAATACCTGTGCTCCTTAATGATTTAAAATTTCTAAATGCTTATCAAGTAACTCCCAGTCAATAATTAATAAGGAAAATGCCACTTAAATCAAGTTAAGCATTTAATTTCATACAAGATTTCTACTATAGTTTGTAGATACATATAACATATAACAACATACATAGTAGAAATGTTTTATTAAATTAAAACAATTTTATATAAAGGAATGTATTTTTACAGTCTAAGGCATTTGAAAGTATTTCTGTTGGGATCATGTATTTGGAATTATTCCCAATCTTACATTTCCTCGGGCTGCACCCAGGATTTGTAGAGGTGGCTTTTTACCACTATAGTGAGATCTGCCTGAGTTTCTTTCTACTGATATTCCTCTTGCTTTCATTACTCATCTGTTCTCTTATTCTGTGTTTGTCTCTGTTTCCTTCACAGCCCTGTTATTGAATGAGCTTGGTAAGCATTTCCCTTCTTAAATTTCCTTTCCATTTTTCCATTTCTGTCAGATAATGCAATAATAGCTCTCTGATTTTTATGTCAATTGATTGGGCAGTGAGATTATTGTTTAGCGTCATTGGCCTCATTTTAATTAAGGTAAAATCAATTAAATTGCATTTTAAATTATCATAACTTAAAAAATCAGTGATCTCTCAGATACTTACATAAATTAAGAATAATTTGTGCATTTAATTCATAATTTTAAAAGACTTCATGATTTTGTCATGAATGGATGTTTTCATATTCTTTTAAATTGTACATTTGTCAAGTTTTCATTGAGTTGTTGAATGTCATAATCTTTGTTATTTGAAGTAAAATTTAAATTGTAACATTTATTTGTTTTCTTTTTCTTTTTTAGGTGGCTTCACACTAACAGGTATGAATTTTTGAAACATAATGCTATCTAATTTTATTTGTATGGTCTTGCTTTAAGCATACTATAACATTGAAAAAAATCTGATTTTTATCTGTTTTTAATTAAGGAAAATACCTGTATGGTAAGATAATATTTTCTTATTTCTCCCCAAAATAATATAAAGATCAAACCAAACCCACCTCTCACATAACCTACTTTTAACATTTAACTGTGGCACAAGGTGTGTGCTCTTGCTACTTTTACACAGTTAACACCTTACAGATTAACAACGTGTATATTGTGTTGTATTTATTTGTAAGAAACTTCACATGGAAAGCTTAAAATGTGCACATTTTGACACTGGACCAATTTTTACAATTTGTTGTTATTGTGATTATCATGTGCATATATCAAAAGATCCCAATATATCATGAAGATATCACAATTTTAAGAATCATAGAGCTGACCAAAAGTATTTAGAAGGAAATATCCAAACTCCTAGTACTAAAAAGACTCTGGCAAGAGCTGGAACTAAGGTATAATACTAAACACATAGTTACAATGTGATCCTGTCCAAAGGGAAACTTTCTAAATACAGAAAGTTACTTCCTTCCAACTGCTTCTTTCTAGTCACAACACTTAACAAAATGATCTAGCAAAATGATTGCTAGATCTCAGAGACACAGAAATTTGGAAAGGATAAAAACATTAAACCTAAGGATGGAGGCATGGCTTAAGTAGATCACTTGTCATAAACCCAAAGCCTTGAGTTCAAACCGCAGAACTTCCAAAGGATAACAAATGTGAAACAAGATAAGTTTCTATATAGGATTCCTTACATCTGACTCATCTGAACCTCACTCCATTCTGTGTTATTGAGGTTACATATGAAACAAGTGCAGGGATTTCTGTATCATTAACTATGTGAAAAGTTCATTTCCAGGGCTTATACTTTCTTCAAAACATTCTTCCATGTCAGGTAGTTCACCAAGTACTCTCTATAACTGAAATTTTAACCTAAAATCCCAGGTTTTTTAGTTGTTATCTCCTCCGAATACTTGAAATCAATGCCATTTAGAACAAGAGAATGTTCGAATAACATTGCAGTTTCTACATTGCCCATTTTGACTTACCTAGATACTGTCTCTCTTTCCGTTGCCCAGAATGCCTAGTATTCACACTTGACCCTGCAAAAGGGAATTCTAAAACTTAGGGTCTGCACAGTAGAATGTATCCTTAGAGTCTAAAGAGTTTTTCTTTGAAGTCTGAGACTTTGAAGTCAAGACTTTGAGAGGGAGAGAAAATAGAGAAGAATTCATTCAGCCATTGGAGGTTGCCTGCAGCTTTTATGTAGATTTGCATGGCTAAGTGTGAACATCTAAACTTAAGGCAGGATGTGTGGAAATTGAAAAGGCCATTTGGTCTGCAGCCTAACCTGAATATTTTAGAGATCGTATTAGTTTAAGTACTAGAGGTACTTTTGGAATTTGTTCATCTTTATCTGTTGTTCTAGACCTTGCCTCATTCAAAGGCCTTTATTTGGATCTGTGAACTCATTTCCTCTTGACCTTGCAGTTTTATGGCAATACCTACATACTATAGCTCATTAGAGTTTGTGAGAATCATCATTTATTACCATCCTTATGGATTTTTACTGTTCTTATAGGAAAGGGAAAAGGCTCCGAGAGATAAATCCCTACCCCTCATCTCAGGGCCTTCTGACTCTAAAACCATGTGATGATTTGCCTAACCCCAGCATTGTTCTGTTTCTGTTTCTCCACTGCAACCCCTTTATTTCTACCTTTATTTCTAGAAATTACACATTATATATATTTTCAATTCAAACCCCAGCTTGTCTGATAAATGGTGCAATTATGAATTCTAGATAAATGAAAAATGAAGGAGAGTCCAAGGGAGAAAACTGTAGCAAATATGTGATATGGATATTTTAATAAAATTCAGTTTTTTGGCTCAATATGGGGAAGACATGGAACTTCTTAAACATATAGATATAGGATTTCCTAATTAAAATTATATAGTATCCAATGATGATACTGTTAACATTACTCTCCCTATAATAACATTCTCATGCAAGACTTTTTAAGGAAACCAAACTATGAACATTCTGACAATTAGAAACACTTCCATCACTCCAAAAAATACATAACACATATGTATTTGCTTCGTTGCACAATTGAGGAAAATGGATCTCCAAGAGGAGAAATCCCTTGCCCAAACTGAATAAATGGCAAGCAAATGGCAGGCTTGTCATTGAGCGCCAAGTCTCTTGATTCATATATCAATTCTGGATAGATTTTAATAGGATAAAACAGCAGCTAGATCTAACAGTCAGTGAATGAGGACTTCAGTGAAAACCCTAGGCCCTAGTTCTCCCAGCACTTGCTGTGATGATGATGACACCCTTCAGACTCTTCAGGGGGTGAAAAATGTAGTGAACATGTTGACTACATTTACTTAACCTTCAAAAAATAGAGCAGGTACTGTTATCCTCATTTTACATGTGAGACATGGAAGAGATGGCCTGTTCAAGGTCATATTGTTGGCACTAATAGACTTCAACACCACAAGAATGGTCAGAACACCAAGTGCTTCTTGTTGTTTCATGATATAAACTCTGGAAGCAGTCATTTGAAAGACCTTGCTCTTCCCTTCCAGACCCCTGGAGGAACCTGGCATTATCTATTCATAATCATACATAACAAACATAGTCTAGTTTGTCTCACAGAACGCTTGCTTCACTTGTGGTCAGTAACCTCCCTCTGTAACCACCAGAGATCCATCCTGTGATGAATGCAGAGTATTTGCCTGGAATCTACACTCCATCCCCCACTAACATGGCTTGCAGTGAATATGGTGTTTATTAATTCCACAATGTTCTGGTAGCAAACCAACACCATCTCTTCGACTGACTTTGTACCTGTCCTTTTGGTAGGCCAACCTATCTTCAGGAAAGTTCTTGCTAGAGAACACCCGATTCCTTCAACTGTAATCACCATTGCAGGTACTCGTCCCGTCATGGTAATTGCAAAACATGGCCTCCAAGTGCCTTCGAGTCTGTAGACATTAGATTCTTATGTTTTAGCCTCTGTCTTCTCTAAAACATTGCTAAATAATACAGTGGCTTCTCTGGTAGTTGGAGATGTCACAGATCAGCAGCAAAACTCAACCACATCAGAGTAAAGAGAGGCAGTAGGAATGAGAAGTAATGGTGGAAGAGGAAGCATGGACCTACAGCAAGTTGATCCAGTGATCACTCCCTCCCAAATACGTGAGAAACGCAAGATCTCTTACAAATGTCTGACACACGAGTCTTTGATCCAAGTACAAACAAATTCCTTAAAAAGCCTGACTTTCCTGATGCACAGATGGTAGTATGTATGTAGGGGTTCTGCAAAAGGGAGATAAAGGAACGTGGACAACATAACTAGAAAATTACACAGCTACCCCAGATCTTCTGGAGACTTAGTGTTTTAGTTATCACCTGACATTAAGTCCAACAGATGAGGACAAGGTTCTCCTCTCCTTCGGTCATCAATATTGTCCATCACTGGCCATGGTAGTACAAATACTCACTTAGACTCCTCATGCTCAAAGCTCATACCCCCCCCCCCACCCAATAATCATGATGCCCAGGTTTAACTGCAGATTTGTTCCACAATATTCTTTCAGGAAATAAAGTGCCAGTCTTTGTTGGCTCTAATCAGAGAAGCCAGTGAGGTGTTGAGAAAACTGCCAAGGGACTTTGGTTTTCAGATGTGTCAGCATAGATCTCAATGAAGAATCAAAATTAACCTGAGCAAATTGTCCCACTGATAATCTTGGCCCCTTTTCCTCATTCTACAGTATTTGCTGAGATTAAAAAGTATGACTCCATTAAAGAATGTCAGTAGTAGCTCCTGGGATACAGATCTTTATAGTGGCATTTGTATCACAGTAGTAGTTTTTCAAAATGCTGGGAGTATGAGGAAGCCTACCTATCCCTCACCCAGGACCTATTAACTTCATTATTTGATGTTTGTAAAATTGATCACCCAGATGAAAAGAAATCTCCAACTAGTGACTTTATCACAGGATGGCTTTGTAGCCTTTTAATATGGCCTTTTAATAGTTGCTCTAATTTTACCCTTAAGTTGTTTGGCTTGGTCAAGACCATAATATGTTGTTTATTCCCACCTTTTCAATGAAACTGGTGAGTTTTAGCAGTAGACATGTATCTACAAAAGGGAGGGAGAGAGAGAACTTTTTTCTGAGAATTGAAGCTAATACCACAGCACAATCCCACTTTGCCTAAGTAGGGAAATAAAGTGACCGTGAGTATAACAGAATTATCTGCTTTTGATCCAGTGCTCAATCTAAAAAGGGGAACAAATACAACAGTTGATCTTGTTTCACAAAAATGTTGTTAAACCATGTCCTAAGAGTAAATTAAATAACAAAAATTTTAGAAGGCCCAGCTCCCTAGATCAAAAAGATCATAAAAACTAATTTATTAGTATCTATACAGAGCAATCATAGGATTTATCCAGCTGTCATCTCTCAATTTTATATAAATATAATAGTGTTTTAAATATAAGTTGGGCAAACAAGTACCTCATTTGTAATTAGGTTATATAAGATCTCTCAAGAGAGTATTTCTTTGTTGCTGTTGTTGTTTTTGTCACTTACATACTTATTTCACCATTTTTTTGCCTTGGTAGCATACCAACTCTACTTGATATAATTATCTATTTGATGTAATTCCCTATGTAAATTATCTATTTGATGTATTTTTTTAAAAATTGCCTCTTGATTTTCACTAAATTAAAAAAAATAAACTCCAAGTTACTAACACAAGAAAAGCTAGTATAATGTACCATAAATAGAAAGCAATTTAACAAAAATTTTACAGTGGAAAAATGTTATTGGGTTCTCACTAGATGGTGGCAAATGTCCTATACCTGAAAATTATTATTTCCATCTTAGAATGGTATGAGTCACAGACCTAAGAGCCTCAAACTATGCATTTCTGTCTGATCAGAGGTTCTGAGGATTAAAGTTAATAGAGTTCCTAAACTTTGTGGATTAATATAATGATGATTATTTATCATTGTGATGGTTAAAATGTGTTTGAGACCTTAGCTAAATGTAACTACGCCACAAAGAAATATTTGGGGGGAAAAAAGAAAATTCTTTTTCACTCACGTTGGATGATTTCCATTTTCTACAATGTTATTTATTTAATGCCATGTTTTAAATCAATTTCATTTTGAGAAGCACTATACTGAACAACTCTACCATATCACCTTTTCTTTCCTAATTAGTCTAAAATAACCTTGAGTTCTGTGAAAAGCAACTTATCATTTATAAAGTAAATTGAAGAAAAGAAGGCCATAATAAACATTCCCCCTTGTAGCCTTGCAACTCAAATAGATATCCAAATTGTAATCTTTCTTCTTTTGGGAAATAGTTCTTATTTGGGAAACATTCTTCATGATATCCACATTCAGCCAAAGGATTTAACAAAGATGCTTATATAACCTGTTGCCATGAGAGCTACCAATAGATTTATCCCAGATGCAAGGATCAAAAAGCAATGAGAATAAAGGATGATAGATTTAAGTGACTGGATAAATGAGGTTTCACATATCTAGTCAACCCTTTTGTCTAGACACATTCACAAGGGCAAACCTTGTAGACCACAACCAGATCCCTTTGCCATTACTTAGGTTATAACTTCCCAATCTGATAAAAAAAAAAGTTACTACTACTTTTATACTTAAATTTAATCTCCTTGTCCTAGTAATTTACCTTTGCTAACATCCACTAGCTTCCAGCTGGATCTAAATACTTTACTTCTAGCCTTTATCTAATTTCCTTGATGTGATTACAGATCATTGATTAAAGGAACAAGTATGTTAAAATAGGCCTTCAGGAAGACACTAGTAAATATACAGTGTAACGAAGCGCTCATCAGCATGCGACATTCTGCTATTGTCTGCCATGAGTTTTGACATTTGAAATAAATAATGCTAGCAATGACTCTTACACATCTGTCACCTGCCCTCACTGTAAGCAACTGGCCTTGGAATTATTCTCCACAACAATTGCTAGAGCAACAAATGAGATCACCATAGTGGAGTCCCTGAGCTGGGGTAGGTTTTGGGTATTCCAAAGAAATAGGAGATGTAGACCCCTGTAAATTGGCAAGAAAGCCTCCCCTTTTGGAGGAAAGACTCCTCTCTCGTAGGTAATTTGTATGTCTGTCTAGGAAGTGAGGGTATCAGAGCTAAGATCTTTCTATGTCACCACCTCCGCCTCACCGGACATGACAAATACATTCATTCCACTTGACTGTGAGTGGAAGCATGTCTGGTTCCAGAATTCTGAGTTATTACAGGACAAGTGTTTGTCTTCCACCTATGCATGGCCTTTTCAGTCTGGGATTTATCCTAATGACCTTCATGCAGAGTGAGCCAACTGTGAGCTTCCCCTCATTAAGAGACTCTCAGCTCCATTAACATTTTCTAAGCCCCCACTAGCCTCTCCCAGCATGTAAGCTATTTGGCAGTTGTGGAAATTACCTTGCTCACATGGTGAGTCTGAACTCCCAAGGGCTTCTCCCTTACTGTCCATGTTTTCATTAAGGTGAACATGGCCAAGATTTTCCTAACACACCAGAGCTGCTTCTCCACACAGAGATGAAGAACTGAAGCCCGCAGCATCTCACAGAAATGTGGAATGGCTGTTTTATTGCCTCACTTGTGACAGGAGCTCCTGGCATGTATGAGGCTATGATCAGAATTTCCCTTCCATCCTCTCTGTGGCTCTGGAGCATTTGCTGTTGCCTCTACGAAGTAGAGAGGAAGAAGGGCCCGATCTCTTAGAGTCATTCTAGAACTTTTAATTGTGTTTCTCTTTAGTCATGTGCTAAAGGAATACGTGCCAACAGCCAGCCTACCCAGCATCACAGGAACAGCTAGGTGATTCTCTGAGCAGAAATAGTGTGTGTCTAGAGTCTTTCTTTCACCGTGATATGCTCCAATGCATTGCTTTCCTCTATCTGCCTTTCCTTGCAATTTGACTATAGGATATTAAAATCATCTGCTGTCTTTGTAATATGTTGCTCGGCCCACCAAACATCTACCAGTTCTCCCCTCCAGCCTCAAGGACAGCTTCTTGCCGCCTTGCTTTTCTGGTAGCAAGATTGAGAGCAGCATATTGTTCACTGTCTTGCCTTCCCTTTCCCAGAGGAAGGTGATGTCAAGAAGCCACTGACAAGCAAAGAAGAAGAGAAAAGGCGCATTGCGGAACTGGGGCGCCCCGTCCTGGGAGAACACACCAGGCTGGAGGTGATCATTGAAGAATCCTATGAATTCAAGGTATGTCTCCTATTGCGCCCATTCAAGAGGCTACTGAAGGTTGCTCACCATGTTGGCCTGAGCTGATAGAAAGAGGAGAAGATATAATTGGAGGCACTGGTTTATTCATTATGAGGCCTTCGAAGCCAACTTGGAATTAGGGAACTAGCATTGAACCAGAAAGTCCTATAAACAGCAGAGCCCAGGCCAAGGAAGTGACAGCTACTGTGACATAAGGGGAAAGGTGCGCCCAAAAGAAAGCCTTGTCTAAAGAGATAGCAAGAAGGACATAGGAGTGGATCTCAAGGGCTTCTTATGGATGGAAGAATCCAAACTCTTTGTAGGAGCTAAGAAATCTGTTCCAAGCAAAGCAAGAGGCTTTTGCTTCAGAAGGGGGATAGTATGGAGCATCCCATTGACAAGCTCTCGTTTGCAGTCACTCTCAACAGATGGGAAAGCCTTTTACAGTCCTTGCCATAATGAAGAGCAGTGTCTGCAACCATAGAGTTTATACTTGAGCTGATGGAAACTAGAGGCCCAATTTCCCAGGTGATAAAAGTCATTCTTTTTAAAAAGTTTATATATGGACCTTGGAGTGAGCTGAAGACCTGAAGTGAAACTTCCTGTCCAGTCCTGTACTAATCCCTTGGGACCCCTCGCCCCATTATTTCCTACCCCCACCCTGAACACATGAGAAGGCCTTCAGTGGAGCCACTTCAGGAGGATACAATCAGGTGTCGTCGTCCAATTATAAGCCCAGAGAAGAGCAGGATTTTCCCTACTTAGATTTCACAATCAGGCTCTGAGCCTGCCTATAAAGAGACAGACAGAATCAAACTGAATGCTCCAAAATGGAGAATCAGGAGCCATTAATTTAGAAGCTTCAGTATTTTTTTACCTGGGATTTATATATACATACATACATACATACATACATACATACATACATATATATGTATATATATATATATATATATATATATATATATATATATATATATATATATGTCCTCTTTTCCTTTACCTAGGAGGTTCACTAATTATTTTTTAGCTCGGCTCACAAAGTGTAGTGCTTGATAGGACACAGGTGAAAAGTGTCTTTGTAATAGAAATGGACATTTTTAAGATAAGAGTGCAATTAAACTTTCTCTTTCAGGCCACTGAAGAAGTTAATTCTTTCTGCCACTCATTCCCATAGAAAGAGAAGATGGGGAAACACATTAGAAGTGAGGCTTTCTGTGCAGACCCTGACCATAAGAACCTTGACTCTTTTGTTTTGTTCTTTTTGTACATCCAGGGATGGAATATTTATCTGTTCCTTGTAATCCCAGCAGAACAGTAATCTCAAACCACCTTTTCTTGTTGGACAGATTTGTTGAGGTTTAGTCCAGGTGGTATCCAATCACACTCTTCCTGTATCAAAGAGCCTTGCACCAATTGCTGCAGTAGAGATTCTGTAGGTTAGCATTTCTGGAACAAGATTGTCATGACCCTTCCCTGAGATTTCATGAAGAATTGTGCATTCTCCCATTTATGAGACAATCCCAGCCTGCCCAGCTTTGCACCCATAAGAGGAAGAACAAGCCTCATAGCTTCCGTAGGAAGCGTTAGGCAGGGTAAGTCTTCCAGAAAGAAGAACTTTCTTGATCTGAATCTTTATCTGGTTATCACTCCAACAATTTGAGCATCAGAAAGTCCTCAAATCTATTTACAGAAGTCCAGTTGTTTGGTTCACATACCTTCCTAGAATAGTATCCCAGACTATTTGTTCTCTTCTCCTTCAAGTTAATTAGCAGGGCTACCATTAACACCTACAGGGCACCCTCAGGGCATGTTTCTGAAGTACCCTCAGGTATCAACTGTGATATCATATTCCACTTATATTATATTCCATTTTATTACTCTCTTAAGAAACTTCTTTTAATAGAATATAGCTGAAGAATTTGTTCAAGGTTCCTAGCACTACATTACAAACCTAAATCTGGGTAACATCTCACATTACCCTCTGTTTTGCTAAGGAGATATTCTTGCTTTGTTATGAGTGAGAGTGAGGCTTTGCTAAGGCCTCTCAAAGTCTCTGACCGTGTAGTGTAGTGAAGAGCTGATCACTGGAATTGAGGAATCCTCCAGGCAAATAGAGCAGTACATTGTCCAACTTCAGGCATCTGAACTTCAAACTCATCATTATTCACTCAGCTTGCTCCCATAGGTCAAAGAAGGACACGTATGCAAATTAAGCCTTGGCAGAATCTTGGCGCTATCTCTAGGGTTAATATGAATTACTCTGTACCACAGAAATCTAATGATTGAGTTTAGCTTTATCCTAAAAAATGTGTTCTTTAGCAAGATCTTTCATGAGGAAGTCTATGTTCAGCTGTTAAAAAGAGTATTCGGCCGTTTTTCTCCCAGGTGATAGGATTCACTGTCTTGGTTTCAATTCAAAGAGTGCCCCCGAGTTTCCATTACATTTAGGAAAAATCGAGGTCATTGCTGGCTATATTCCACACAGCACTTTGAATTGGCATCAACCAAGATGCCCGGAGTGCTTGATGAGATGTGGCTGAGTTGGGAGAGAAAAGACAGATGCTTGTCATGTGGTTCAACTTGTGCCCAAGAGCAGTGACTATTACAGCTGTTATCAGGAGCACCAGCAGTTTTCTACACAAGGCTAGCAGCTGAAAGGTCACCACCCTAAGGACATACAATCCAGCCAAGAATAATGTTACAAACATAGAGTGAGCCAATCAGAGAAGGGCCCTTTCATGTTTATTATCTTCTCAATGTTTCAAGTCAGTTCTAATGTCTCTTCTTGAACTAACATGCCTGATATTATAAATTGGATTTGGCCTCTCATACGAGCCCTCAGATCACATTTTCCTCAATACTATGTAGCTGATAATACACTCTCTCTCAAGCCACAGTCAATGTAGTACACTGCATGAAACATGTACAGATGTTAACCCAACACCTGTTTTTTCTGCCCCTTTGCAACTAGTGGAAATGCTAGGATGCTCTGGCACTAAGTGTGAATGTTCCGTAGAACAGTCAATGTGATCGTTTCTTAGAGAAGAGCAGCCTCAATGTCCTGGAAAATGACCCTTTTTCTTGTAGTTGCCATGATTTGTAGTAGCGCTTTGAGCGTAACCATTTATTTCATTTTTCTCATGACCACTTGACTGTTACAGCGACTGGATTTAGAAAGCTAGAGTGCTTAGAAAGCTAGAGTGCTAATTGTACAAAACTAAGTGTTTAACAAGTCCTAAGGAAAAATACAGAGCATAATGCTCAGGGCTAGAAAAGCAGAGAAAAATCAGTGAAAGGCTATTAGCCATATGCCCTAAACCACTGGGATTGATCTGTATTTGTTTGTCTTTTCTTGATTTGCAACAGGATTAGGGTGAGAATGGAATTCTCTAATAGCCCTGAGGCTGACCAAACTAATACCTAAAGGAAAATAACATTTATTCATGATCATGCAGCAAGTAGCTGAGACTGTTACCTGGTTACATTTCACTGACAAATAAAAGAGGGAGAAAAAGACTTTGGCATTCGTACATATGGAATGTCAAGCAGGGCCTACGTCCAGTCAGTTGCAGGCAGTGTACAACAGCAGGTAGAGAAGCAAGTTCACAAAGCACTGGAGGGGAAGGGATGGGCCTTCACAACAGCTATTACTCTAAGCACTCAGGGTATTCTTTATTGGCTTTTAGTCTGTGAAGGAGGCTTGTCTTTGCTTCAAAGAAGTTTCTGTTTTCAAGTAAGGAATATGCTTGTTTTGCATAATCACAGAAGTGTTTGATGTCAGTGCTGTTGTTCGAAGCCTAACATCTGCTACCCTCTTTATGTAACTGAGGTTTCCAAATCAACAAGCTCTTCGATTTCCTGAGGCCTCAACAAGCTCGGCAGTCTTCATCTTTTTCCTTTCCACCTTTCTAGAACACCGTGGACAAACTCATTAAGAAGACAAACCTGGCCCTTGTGGTGGGGACAAACAGCTGGAGAGAACAGTTCATTGAAGCTATCACTGTCAGTGCTGGTAAGTGCCTTGCTCAGCATGGTGGAAATTACAATGGGCCAATCTCAGCTATGGTTTCCTACTCTGCCACTTGGTCCTGTGGCAAAGCTCCCAAAGAATGGCAGGATCCAGATAAATAAATGCATGTGTTGCTTGTATGCACATCTTAGAGACTCCAGGAGGTTATCCAGAAGGCTCATGTTTTCATACGTGCCTTTCTTTTCCAGCTAGACTACCCTTCTTCCTAGTAATAGATCAACTTGAAGCTTTTGTCTCTAAATTCACTGCTAGCCAATCATGGGGCTAAATTCCCTAGACATGGAGAAGTGAAGGTCAAAATGAAAGGCTCAAAAAGAAAGAGAATGTAAACTGGGTACCAGTGGCTCAAGCCTGTAAATCCTAACTACTTAGTGTCACCAGACAGAGGTGAGGTTTAGTGAAGCTTCCCTTTAAATGTGGAAACTTTTCACTTAGGGTCCTTGACGTTGATCGCAGATTAAGAATTTCTGGACAAGTCACAATGGTAAGAAAACTTGGCAGAGCCCTATTGAGTAGATAAACAAGCAGGGAAGCAGACAGACAAAAAAGGAGACAAACAGAAGGATAGGGGCACACTCCAGCAGAGTGTGGGTGCTCTCATAGGGAGATAGAGATACAGAGAGACAAACACGCAGACACACACACACACACACACACCACACATACACACACACACACACACACACACACACACACACACACCACACACACACACACACACACACACACACACACACACACACACAAGGAGACACCCAAAGAGACCCACAGTGCCTTGGGCTCTTGGGGTATTTATGGGGTAAAGGCAGGGGATCTGACTTTAAGCTATGTAAAGCTAGGTGCTTTGTCTTTGCTCTAACCACGCCATGTTATTTTCTGAGTTTCCAGGCAAAATACATCCTGCCATAAAATAGATACTTATCCTTGAAGCAAGGAGGTGCCTTAGGTGCCTAGCTATCGGCATTTTGGGGCATCCTGTCAGACAGTTGTTAGACCTTGGGTGAGAAATGCATCTCTCGGGAAAGAATGCATTCAGTTGTCTCTCTTTGAAGCAAAGCTAACATTTCTAAGTTTCTGAATAGCATATTTCTGTGTTGCCTTCACCAGGCCTCAGTTTCCTTAAATTAATCTGCTTCACTTAGGAAGTTAAACTGATGATCATAGTTCAAAGCCAGAATGGGCAGGAAAGTGTTATCTCCAATTAACCATTATCTCCAGTTAACTCTTATCTCCAAGCAACCATCAAAAAGCTAGAAGTGGAGCTGTGGCTGAATGATAAAGTGCCAGCCGTGAACAGAAAAAGCTAAGGGACAGAGCTCAGGCTCTGAGTTCCAGCCCTACTACCAGTTCAGAAGAAAGAAAAAAAAAAGAAGAAATTAAGTCACATTTATCAACACCATCTGCATCATCTTAGACTCTCTTCAACAGCATTGAACACATAAGTACTTGTACTGGCTTTGGAAAATACAAATAGTACATTCTGTTTCTTCCTGTGTGAGCAAAGTGCAGGTTTTTACTTAGGGAAAGTTCTGCAAAATTAAGTCATTGTTCAAGACTCATGAACTCAGTCCTCGCTGGGGTAGGTTTTCAGTTCTTTTGCTTGATCTACCCTGGTTCTTTCTCTTTTAAAATCTCCATAGTCTTATCTTCCACAGCGAGAGTTTTCTAAATAGTGATTCCTAAGAGGTAAAATTGGGAAACTTTGTCACTAGTAGTCAGGCCATGACTTCTACAACAACCCCTCTTTTCAATCTGCCATAGGATAAGTTGACAGATCTCCCAAATGCTGTGGGAGCAGAGGGCAATAAAAAGTTGTCTGCCTGTTTACTAGTAGTGCTTTTTATAACCATGTTATGATTTCTTGCAATTGAGTATACAATAGGAATTTACAAGCAGTAAATGGCAGAAAATCTGCCTGGGAGAGTGGAAGGATTAACTCCTCATTTATGGCTTATGTTTTTCTATAAATCTAAGATAAGCATCTAAGGTGCGAACTATCCTCCCTCCCTCTATAAAGAGAGAGCTAAACAGGTAAAACTGTTGGTCAGACTAATAGAAGAAAACTTAAAAATGAACAAATCACCTGAGCTCATGTTTGTAATCTTAGCTATGCAAGAGGCTGAGATCTTCATGTTTCTAAGCCAGCTAGGCAGAAAAGTTCATGAAACTCGTACCTCCAATTAACTATCCAAAGACACTGTAAGTGGAGGTGTGGCTCAAGTAGTAGAGCACCATCCTGGAGCAAAAAAAAAAAAAAAAAAAGCAAAGGGAGAATACCCCAACCTGGAATTTAAGCCCCAGTACCAGCACATACATATATACACACGCATACAAAAAAAGAAATTCTTTTAAGCAATTTGGCATATTAGAACTGAACCATGAAAGCAACATAAACCTCATAATGAACCATTCCTAATAGTTTCCAGGTGTCCTTTGGCTATAGATATGTGAGCATTTGTGTAATGACATGTACTGGTCATCATTAATTCATTTTGTGATACATTCCTTGGTAAAAAAAAAAATAAATAAAACACTTCATAATAGTGAATGAATCAGACATATGTTCCTGCGTGGACAAATCTTATATTCTAGTCTAGAGGAAAAACAAGCGAAACAAATAAGTTATAATAAAGTGCATGTAGATGGCAAGAGAGTCATGAAGAACACCAAGGCTGAAGAGAGAAATAAGTGCATAGAAGCTGCAGTTTTAGACAGTGGACAAGATGAACCCATCAATAGACATTTGAAGGCCCAATTTGCTTTCAAGCATTGGAGTCATTTTATATTGACTCAGATACACGCTTTTGCAACTTTCTGACCATGACAAATACTTTTTGACCAGTGTGTGTGCCAATAGAAAAGGCATTTTTAACTCGTAGAATGAGATTATATCTGTCCCAAAGGTCAAAGTCATACATTTGTGTGTGTCCTAACAGGTGTATAGAAACAATGAAGAAGATGCTAATACTTCTGTCCTTATAAGAGATGGGCTTTCATATACTATTCTGTACTAAATCTTCCATAAAATCCATGAAGTGGAAATGGTGATTATCTTTATTATATGGGATCCCAGTCTCAGAGAAACCACCTATCTTTGGAAGATAGCCTGAGCCCTGATGTACCAAAAACTGTCCTTAAGAGAGAAATCTCAATTTGAGAAAAATTGCATACCACATCTGTCTTATGAACAGAAACTGGCTTTGGCCTTGTCACCTCTCCTGGTACCATGGTATAATCATTCTCTAATGAGTCTAACTCCTGCCCAAACATTTTGAAAAACGTTCATTCAGAACTTCTCACCCATTCCTATTAGGGTGAGTGTGCATCATATATATATTATACATATATATATATATATATATATATATACATGTTATACATGTCTAAAGGAATGCATAGAGACAGACACACTACTTAGAAATATTTGTAATTTGTTGAGTAAATTTACCTTACCATTTTGAGAAGCACAGTATCAAAAAAAAATAAACACATAGTTTATGGGCTCTGAATTACATTAAATTACATGAAAGGCAATTTAAAAAGCTCAATGTTTGTCATTATGATTGAATTTAAGTGTCTACAGAATATTAATATTCCCAGGCTATTAAACAGACAATATAATTGTAAAGCAACATTTATTAAAGGTAGCCTTTCAGTGGATTTTAAGATTTCATGGTTAAATAGTTGAGAATCAGAAAGATTTGCCTTATTAAAAATATTAAATTGCCTTTGAAGGGCTCCACTGAGAGTTTTCTTCCTAAGCAATTTTCTATGCAAAATTGAGTCTGTATATCTTGCCAAACAAAAGCAGTGATTTTGTAAATAGGATTTGGCTTTTCTTTCTCAATGATGGTATCTGAGCTAGTTTCAAGGTATCCCTCCCACAGTTCTGTTCCATGCTTTTCTTGCATTTCATAGCTCAGTACCTGACCCTGTTATGATTGCACATTGCTGTGAACCAAGTTCTTAAAGCTCAATATTTGAAGAGTTAAAAGGGCTTAGAAGACCCCAGAGATTAGGAAGGGATTAAATAGTCAGGTCCCAGTGATTCTCCTTCTGTTGCTTCCTGGGATGAACATCAGAAGCAGTGGTGTGAAGCAGTTAAAGGGCTGTCAGAAACCTTGCAAGGCCACACCAGTGCTTTTAGGATGTGGCAGCACTGACATTCACACTTGTTGCTATCCAACTCGAGTTTTCCCCTGTGCCTTCTTTCTAGTATCTCCCCCAGTGTGAAACTCATGGATTAGCTAGCTGTGAGAAATCATGTGCCAGCTAGGATACCAGGGGAAACTGGTATCAGAGCAACAGGCAAACATATAGCTGGATAACGATAACCAGGATACCAGTGCCAATTCCACCATCACCATAATGTTGCTGTTCACTGAAACCTTGAGCTGTAATGTAGCAAAGAGTCATTGCAAGGCTGGTTTTGGAAGCTATTGGGAGGTTGTGTCTCAGCCCCTCCAAAAACTTCCTGGGTAACTTTGGGCAGACTAGTTCACCTCAGGAACCTAGTTTTTCCCATAAGGAAAATTGAGATAAATACGTCTCACTCATATAGTTACTATAATATTAATTAAGGCAAGGAATCTTTGCACAGCCCATCTATTCATTCAGATACCAAAATTGTTGTTTGGTAGAGAAATCATTTATACTGAAGATTCTATAACCAAAATTTGTATACATTTTGAACATTCAGCTTAATTACTGGAAGTGAACCAGCCAAGTAGCTCGGAGTTGTTTCACTGGGAGTACTAAACATGCAGTTTCACATACTGTGACTCAAAAAAGACACTGTAACTTGCTCAAGAAGAAAAACTGCTAAGGGGTAGTGTTGGGGTACAGGTCAGCCAAGGATGACCTCCAGGCTCAAGTTTGCACTCACTGTTCCTGGTACCAGAGTGCACATACAAACAAATGCTCACATATGTGCATGCTAACATGTAGAACATGAGTATTCAGATGCACACAAACATGCATGC